GTCTCGCGGCGGCCGAGAGATGGCTTCTCAGATTGAAGCCTGAAGCTGCAAGAGTGCCTTGGGGTGGGAGGGGATGCTTCTGTCTCGCAGCAGCTGAGATGGCTCCTCCTCAGATTGAAACCTGAAGGTGGAAGAGGGGCGGGGGTAGGAGACAAGAGGCCGGGGGGGGGGAGAGGAGGGGGTAGGAGACGAGAGGCCCGGGGGGGGGGAAAGGGGGCGCGTGGGGAGTGTCTCGCAGCAGCTGAGATGCCTTCTCAGATCGAAGAGCAAGTCGTTTGACCTTTTATCAATTTACGCGTACTTCTCTGTGTATTATAGTTTTTTTTTTCTTTTTTCTTTTTTCTTTTCCCTATATGATAGTTGCAAGGGCGGACGCCGTGTCCATCTTTTTTAAAATTTAAAAGTACAATATGTTTTTTTCTTCTCTCATGTCCTTTTGCTGTCTTTCACGCCGTGATGAATAAATCGAGAGGAGTAGAAAGAAATAAGAATGGTTGAGGTTTTGGCTGGGGTGTGTGCCTTGTTGGTCGCACCGACCTGAGGCGATGAATAAGACTTCCAGGGATTGGGAAACAAAACAAAAAAAAAAGGACTCGGGGGATTCGGTATTAGGGCTTCTCCGTCTAGATCGAGAAATGGAATGTATTTTTTGACTTTTTTTTGACTTTTTTTTACCATTTTTTTGACTTTTTTTTAATTCTTTTTTTTGACTTTCTTTGACCTTTTTTTTTTGGACTTTCTCTTTCGATTTTTATTTGTTTACTTTTTATTTTTTTATTTTTGTGTTCAATCCTGGAAACGAAAGCACGAGGGGCGGAGCTGGTGCCTTCTTCGTTCGCAGGCGAGAAATCAATTGTAATTGTAAATTTTGTAATATACTGTATTTTTTTAATTATTATTTTTTATTTTTTATTATTTTATTATTTTTAGTTTTATGCGGATTGCTCAATGGCGGAAGAAAAGTAGTAAGTGACTGGTGGTCCCCCCTCTCCCCCTCGCGTTTGAGGAATTAAGGAAAAATATAAAACATGTTGAACTTTGTTGTGGCAGTGGCAATTGGTTTATAGCTGAGGGATGTCTCAATTGCTTTGCTTGGCTAATATTATGCCTTTCGTCCTCTTCCCTTGTCCTTTCTTTCACTGGATCCCTTTCTCTTTCTCTTGCCTGTGTGCGGTTTGGTTTCCTCCTTTTCTTTACCTCTTTTTTGCCTTTTTTTGGCTGCGTGCGTGCAAGCGGGGGTCCTTGTGACACACGGGGATGGGGGCAGCCAGCGCTCAACCTGTCATCCACGTGGCTGGCCTTGTACGTAAGAGGTGATGAACAGGTGGGGCTTTCCTTCCT